GATCAGGCAAACAAATACATATTCTATTGGCTAATGGGGCTGAATATTTACATTAGAGTCTGTTGGCTCCTATTTTGCTCTTAAAGATTTATATCATTTAGATTTTACAATAAAAGCTCATTTAGCAAACTGCATTGCAGAAACAAAAAGAGAGCGGAATTAAAATTTTGTGAAGAGAAGGCAACTAGGTTTCAAATAAAAATATACTTGCCAACGAATTTACTTAAATAAAAAAGTGAGCACGTCGTTTTTGTTGTCGCAGTTTTAGCCCTTTAATTAGTTATACCATTATTTCCAACAACATAGCCGGCTCTGGATGTTATTTATAATAAGTTATATTCGCCTTGCAAGCGGCAAGTGTACGTTATTTCGTGTCAGTTTATGTTCTCAGAGAAGCGGTGGAAAATATATACTGCATATATGCAAATCGAAATTTAAATACTTAAAAAACTATATCAAACAATGCAAATCATTTAAATATTGCGTCAGTGGAATGTATACATTTTACTTGCAAAGTTTGTTAAAAGAAATGTTAATTGATGAAGCTTTATTTACTTAGATCCGTTTCAACCTAAAGGGAATATAGTTTTGCTTTCTAGCAGTAATCTATTACAGTTTTTGCGTCGGTTTCAAACTAAGAAATTTAATTTGTTTAATGTTTTCCAAACCGAACCATCAAACATCCAACGTTCAATTAGCCCTATACATGAATTTTTACGCTATTAATCGTTTACATACTTATTTAACTAAAACTAAAATAATAAACCCATTAGACTTTAAACTATTTTAGTGGTGGCACTCTTGAACACAGACCACTGTAAAGTTGAATCAAGCAAACATAATTTATAAATTGGTAAATGAACTGAAATACGTTCAGTTTTTTTATCCTTTTATAAAGCAAGTAAGTAAAAGTAATATAATATAAATCATATACTTCTTCATATGATATACTTTTTAATAATTATATAAAAACCCTAATCATGTTTTTATGTGTTCGAAGATCCAACAAAAACCCTACTTTCCATTCGGAAATTTTTGATGATGAGAGTGCATAATGATGGCAAGTAACATTATGGAGAACAATCCATCTTGATAATGTACGATCTGAAGAGTTCCAGTGCGATCCATCAACCTACTTCGGTTTACTGGGGGTTTTAAAATTATCAGGATAAAGTTACACCATTTGGCAAATCCGGAATACCCACGAGCGAATAATTCGACCATTTTAACTCTCACATTAAATTTTGAGTGATTAGCAATAGTAGTGACTTACAGGTATATCTATTATGTGTTTATCAGCTTTGTATACAATAAAGTACCGATACGCGCTTGCGAAATTACTATTAGAAGATTTTTCAAAACGCGTTTGTTCGCGTTTGTTGGGATGTTTTTAGAATGACAAAAGCTTCGATTTTTATACATGTAAGATGTGAACTTTGGTGAGAACTTTAAGCCATATAATGTTGCTAGGACCATAATTTCAATCCTTTACAGCAAGATTCAAGAACAAATGTATACAGTTTTGCGGAATTATGAACATTCAATTTCAGATCATCCGTCTAGAATACATAGTCTAGAATTCTCGTCTTGCGTGATTTTTATACCAGTTTTCAGAAGTTATAAATATAAAATTTTTTAATCATAATTCTCATATTAGTTTATATTGGAATATACTTCTTAGACCTTCATTCAATTTTATCAAAGAAAATACCTCAAATAAACAACTAAAATAGATTTAAAAATGCATGTTTTGTTCGTGTTGGAAAACGGCAATTTCCATTTACATAACTATAAATAATAGTGAAATTTTCGTTTCCTGATAGCATGAGCTTGAGTTTTCCATATAGCAACAACTGTACGGTCATGTTTCTAATATTGAACAGAGTTTGCTTGTTCTGGAAGCGAATCTTAAGCCTTGAATATTCAGTGGAATACTTTGTTATGGTTTTTGCAGAGAAGCTTGTTACTTTCAAAAGAAAGTGCTCAAATGGGATATGTTCAGCTAATTGACAAATTGTGTGTAAAAATCCCTTATTAAGCTTTCGTGTATTCTGAACATGATAACCTAGTTTTATAATAGTTCTAAATTTATTTACAAAAATTGTCAAAAATTGCCAAAATTGAATAAAAGTAGTTGAATTTCCAGCTTATTGAACTCGATATAAGGTGTAGTTCAATAAACTTAATTAACTCTTAAACCATCGCAACCTGATGTTTTACAAAACAGTTCTTTGACCATATTGTTTGGTTTCGAGCGATCAGTTTAATAAAATCACTTTTGAAACATATACATAACAACAATACTCAAGTCAATGAACTTTAAGTACGTTTTATTAAAAAATTGTGTTGGTTTAGATTCTGTTAAACATTGTGACTAGAAAAAAACGTTCGAGGCTTGTTATTGAATGAAGGTTATTTCCACTCTTGGCAATAAACAGTATTGGCCGCGAAATTAATTTGAACTCGAAGCGGAAAGCATTAACGGGTTGATCCAGTTTTAATGAGCAAAACAATTCTTGTAAACATGAGAACTCAGGTCAAATGATAAATTTACATTAATGGGCGAAGTAGGCGGGTGTAGGAATTTTACTTTATTGTCATTAGTATTCATCAGAACATTCATAAAGAAAAAGATCAATAATTTCCGAAAATAATCTTAAATATGGAACTAATTATAACAGTAATACTATCTCTTGGTAAAACATGAGAAGACGCAGTGTTCGTCGCAATCATTTTTGGAGATATACATACTCTGTATCGAAATAATGCTCTGTTGGTATGACACATGATGACGATGTATTTAGATTATTTACACTTACACTTTGTTAAAGCAATAAATCATTCAGTAATCAACTATAAGCTATCTAATGACGCACAGGACAATACCTTCGAGTTTACAGAATGTCTAGAACTCTAAAACATTTGAAAATTTAGAAAAATTGATCTATAATTGATGTTGGTGAATATTCTGGCATATCGAGAAAAAAATCAATCTCTCTATAACTAGATAAGTTATCGGAATGTAGATTTACTAGTGACGCTAATAAACGTTAGATTAACTAATTTGACGCAATTCCACTTATAAAAAGATACCATATTTAGCATTGTCTAGGGTTATTCTCAAAAAAAAAGTTTTAATGATACAGTATGGTGTTTAGTCAAGATGTTTATTTACATTTATCCGACGATTTTTTTCAAATTCAATTTTTTTACTTAATTTGTGTTTTTATTTACATTCTTTTCAATTACATTTATTGGATACGTGGGCGTAGATTACCAACAAACTATTGGTTGCAACCAAATTTCCCATTAGTACATATTCCACAACAGTATTTTCATTAAAAAATAAATAATCGTGTATTTTCATTCAAAATCAAGCAAAGAGATACCAAAACAATTCTGGGAACACAAAAATTGATGAACAATTCCAATAAATTGAACAAATCGGAAGAAATGTTTTCCTGTTTCTAAGGATGTCCTTGATTAAAATGAATACCTACTGTTCCAGTAAAAAAAGGTCAATGTTAATAAACGAGGTTATTCGGAATTAACGAATTCGGAATATTCGGTGAAAAGTAAATAAAATTGTTTATATTTTGTTTTTGAACTTATGTTGAAAAAGAGAGTCTTTTAAGTTAGTCAGTTTGTAAAAAATACTTTAATTATTTAGTACAGTAGGGTGGTCCAGTTAAATGTAATACAATTTCTTGAAAAATCGCAAAATACTAGTTCTATAACCTGAATATTGAATGTAATGATAAATGTTGAATATAACAGTTAATTCACATACTACGCCATCAAGGTGTCTAACCAACTATTAAATATTAGGTATGTAAATACTACTTAGAAAATAGGATATTATTCATGTTCTTGAGTATTTTTCTAATTTTATTTAATGACATTAATGTGTTTATTTTTTCGATGTTTCCACATTGCGTTTTTTTTGGAAACCTGAACTTTGCTCAATGTCTAATTTTCAAGTTAAGAATGTATTTCCCTTCTAGCAAGCTTTATCATATAAACACTTCGCTACTTCAGACATTTTAAAAAGACTTGATAAGGAAAAGGTTATTATGATATTCTTATCTTTCCTGGGTCTCAGTCAAAGTATGAAGTAAAATTTTTAAACATCGTTTATTTCATTACGTTTTGGCAAGACAACAGCGTCATCATCAGTTTTAAAATTTACATAAACTCATGATTGATTAAAATCAACGGCAAAGACCAAAAAGGACGTTGATTTTTACCAATCATGAGTTTGCGTAAATTTTAAGACTGATGATGGCGCTGTTGTCTCGCCGAAGCGTAATAAAATATACGATGTTTCAAAATTTTTACTTCACACTTTGACTGAGATCCAGGAAAGATAAGAATATCATAACAAGTACACGCAGTCAGGAAAATAAATCAGAATAGAGGGAAAAGGTTATAATTAAAGTAGGTAACAAAAATGTATACTTAAAAAATAACTGTAAAATAAAAGTAGTACCTATCTTGTAAATTCCTATATACATTTGGCCAACATTAAAAGTATAAAAATGGTGATAACTACAACAGCTATAGTTAACAAAACAAATAAATTATGCGCTATTCTGCACGCATTGTACTCCAACATTTTTTTTCTAAAGTAGATCCATGCTTGCGCTTTCAAAAAATGTATCCCTAATCTCAGTGGAAAGACGTGACTTCAAAAAGTTTCTACATTATTTTATTGTTAAGTTAGTTAGTTATTTTTCCCGTGATGTGTTTTTTTCTTTCAAAGTTCATTAGTATTTTTATAAATGCATGTCAAAACATCAAAACATGGATAAACTTCCAAAGAAACTTCTTAATCTAGCAACAAAATATCATGATTGGATAGACGACCAACAATTAAATAATATTGACAGTTTTTTGAACCACATATTACCAACTAGTCTTTTTCAAAGCTTAGAAAATCTCTAGCATTAAGTACTGTAAAACTACAAAACCGTTATAACAAATGTTTTTTTTTGTTACAGATCACGCGCTTTAGTTTCGAAAAGGACAGAAGGAAACCAATCCATATATAGAAAGGGCTGTTATAATTATCGTGTTAAAAAATCAATGAGTGATTAGAATCTTCAATTCCTATTATCGTACACTGTGAGGATACTACCGAAGAAAAAACTAAAAATGCATATAGAAGTGCAAGTAGCGTTGAATTTCGTAATATCGTACCTGTACAACAAACTTCCCAGAAGACGGGTGAATATTTTTGGGGAGGAGTTGGAAAAAGCTTTAAAAGACAAATTTCAGGTAAAACGACGGAATATTTAAGGGGACCTTAGATTAATAGTGTCTTCCATGCTACAGGGTCACTGGTATCCAGAGAAACCTTTCAAGGGCTCAGCGTTTCGATGCTTGAAAACTGGAGATCCCATTGACAAGGTGCTGGAAAGGGCAGCCAGAGAAAGCGGAGTTCCTATCCAAGACATTTTGGAAAACCTGCCACAAGAGTTGGCCGTATGGGTTGATCCTGGTGAGGTTAGCTACAGAATTGGTGAGAAAGGAGCTGTGAAAATTTTGTTCAGCGACAAAGTTGATCCTCAAGATGATCATTCTGCGGACAGGTAACTACAAATAATCAGCTATTTTTTATTACTTATTAATCAATATAATTAATTTCCTAGGGAGGTGACGAAAACCTTCAATCCGGAGGCTCAGTGCTTCAGACCGATCGACTCTGTGAGTTGCAGCCTGAACAATCTTAGTTTGTCCCCTAGCAAGTCGGTACCCCCCTTTAATGGTGTGCCGAATGCCAATGCTGCTGTGGTCGGGCCGCAGATTCCGGCTCAAAGCGTCCAGCAAAACGGAAATCAAGTGAGTTTTTCTATTTTGGCAAATGACGACAAGTTCTTCAATGTGAAATATTTCAGGCTATCCCAGTCAATCAGCATCTAGCTTCGAATTCTTCGGCGCCGTCCCCTACATCCATGGCCAACTCTTTCAAGGGTTCTCCATCGCCAGTGCCGGCGTTCATACCACGCACCACCACACCACTCACTTTCACCACAGCCACATTTGCTCAGACTAAATTTGGTAGCACCAAATTGAAAACCAGTAGCAAACGAGCCAACAGGTGAGTTCCAATGATAGAACGATGACAAATGTGTGACAATCTTAACGGACTATCAGTCGGGGAAGGACACAACTGAGTCGGTACCGAACCGGATAATTACGTGAAAAAAAACGTACTGTACTTCTAAATCACAGTTACGGCAAAAATGATTTTCGCATGATGACCTCCGTACAGAGCAAATTGAAGATTTTGGAGTACGCTGAGAGCAATGCAATTTTTAGTTCGCTGTGTCCGAGCTGTACTTCCGGCCAGAAAAATTTTCAAAGCTATAACACAGTATAAGGTTTTCAAAGCGCAAATTTAACCTTGCAAACTACGGCATTTTGAACCTGTAATTTTTGTTTTCAGAATGTCTCCCACGGAATTCTCCAACTACATTAAGCAGCGCGCTATGCAACAGCAAATGCACCAACAACCACCGCATCACTCTCCAGGAAGTCGAGCTCTGTCTCCTGATCCATCTGCTTATTATTTCCCTCCCCAGGGCCACTTCCCACCGCAATTCCCACCCCGTTCAATGTTTGAGTCTTCCAATCAATTTCTCAGCCCCGAGTTGTATCCGGGAAAAAACAATTTGAATTTCCCATTCGACAACTCCTCATTCAGTCCATTTTATCCAAACAATGGAGGCATCAATATGACTCCAAGTGCAGCCAATCCTGGCCAGAACAAGGACATGCTAGAAAACAACTGGACTTACGCTACCACTGGTCAGTATCAGCATTTGTTGGTGGCCAACTGAGGGTCCTCATAGGCAGAGGATCTCAAAGAGCGGGGTAGAAAACCCTGTGGTGATCCTAGCGATTCTATTGTCTCTTTCTTTCTTGGTGGGCTGGCGGACAGCAACATTGCAGGGAAAAATATTGCATAATCTGCGGAACCTACAGTATAGATGGAATGCACTGGTAATAGTAGATTTTTTCAACGTTGGTTGCTTCTCATTATAATAAAAATCTTCTCAGACAGCATTGGAAATCTATTATTGCCTACATTTATTCTGAATCACAGAATTGCTGGCAATTCGAATTTTAATATCGTTTATGTTTATCAAATATCCGATTAGAAATCACATCATTTTTATGTATCCTTAGTTGAACAGTTCCTACTTTTATATTTGCATATGATAAATTAACTTTTGTGTTCCAAAATGATGAATTGTAAATATACGTAGTATAAGTTTTTTAGATGAAGTTCCAGTTCTCTTGGAACAGTGATCTCTCTAATATTAAAATAATTTGTAAATATTGTAGCTTATATTATTTATAAATGACATATAAATATTTTTGTAGCAAAAATGTAGTATTCTCACCAACAGTCAGTACCAACTGAGAGACATATATTTTTCTTAAAATTTCACTCATGAAACTTTACACACTTAACTGTTTCGTAGCGTAAATGTTTAAGCCCAACATAATCAAAATATTTCAATATAACGACTTTCTAAAGCATCACAAACTTGCAATACGTATTTAAATGTAGGTAGCTGTTGGGCATTACCTTTTGATTTATAAATGTAGGTTATTTTTTATACGAGAAGCAAACTGAATCTAGAACATCACGAAGCTTTTATATCTCGAGGAAAGACAGTAGAATCGCGCCAAACGTTAGTAATAATACATAACCTATTACCCTTATAAAAGATGAGATCCTAAGCTTGATAATTTTTAAATTTTGATAAATCGTAGTAGATAGAATTTATAGATGTTTCTTACTTTATATATGGTGTTTACAGTATTCAAGTAGATGTAGAGTGTTTCCTAAATCTTTTTTATATTGTATGTATTTTTTATTTTTGTATGAGAAGCTCAAGCTAACGTCTAGTCCCATAGAACTTCGTTAATCTTCATGTTATTCAATAAGTGAGTTGGCATATCACGTTATCGTTACCAAACCTACTTATGCCTATTGATAATGTCTCTTCATTTCTTTTACATGAAGCATGCTTGCACTTAGCTAAAATATTTCAACTGATTTGTTTAGTTAAAATGCTCACTCGAGGACATACATACAATACATTGTTTGAAGTTATATAAATAAAGTTTGTTGATGTGTGAGAAGAAGAGACAAAATGTAGATAAAGAAGCCAGGTTCATGCATTCCTAGAACATATGGAAGGAACAAAGACAAAATCTGAATTCTTGTCCATATCAACGCAATAAAATGATCTGTTTTAAGATTGTGATATTCTTTTTTAACTTTTTTATATGCAAAATGTCGATGTGTTATGCGATGAACATGGCTTTTTATACAAGGTCGCTTTACAATATATATTTGATCTTTAGTTATTGTAAAACGACTCTTACTCAGTATTGCATGTTAGTTACAACCCTCTGGGGTCTAGATATGCTTATTTTCTGAAATTAAGAGATATGCTATTTTTTACTGCTTGCTTTTTTGTTACTTTTTCACTGAACGTTTATTTTTTACTTGTAATTGTTGACATTAATATAATATATATTTTGTTATGAACGTATCAATTTTTTATTTTTGCACTTAATTTTGTCTGCGTACCTGATTCGACGTTATTAATACCGGACTAGTCTAAAGAATATTTTATTGCAATTTTAATCTGAATTGATACAGTCTCAAACTTTCCTTTAAATCTCCAGAAGGAAAATTTATTTATCTTGAAAATGTGTGTAAATATGTTCGTTTGTAGTGTTTTTACATACATCGCGTCCGGAATGGAGATTAATTAACCCAATAACAGCACATAAACGAACATCTCCGTCTGATGGAATCCAAACGTAAGATAAAAAATGTTCTTGTCAAAAAAAAAATGCAATTTAAGGCCGCTTAATTCAGAAGCTCGGTGAGTAATTTAAAAGTTCAAGTTTGATCGGGACCGCCTAACTTGTACACATGAATGGTCATATTATCACTCTGTATGATAAAAACCCAAGAAACCTAAACCAAAATAAAGATACTCTTGATCGACATCGATAAAATGAACAATTCTGGCTTGTATTGGAACGTGTAAAAAGAGACGTTTCTTTAATCTGAATTTGAAACAACGTTTACAAACTTATCATTTGATAAACTCACACAAAAGAACCCTGTATACATTTTCATATTTTTTTTGGAACCATCCAATTTTCGTGTAAATCACTGAGTGGGTAGCAATTCTGATGCCGTTTGGCTTTTTGGGACAAATTTGTTGTTCTCTGATTTGTCAAATTTATGTAGTTCTGTTTTGTCCGGTGAAAGCCTAGTGGTCACATAGTCGATTGCTTTTGTCTCTGTCTATCCATACTTTATCAATCTTACTAGCCCGTCTATCGCAATTGTAGCAGAACGGACTTCTTCAAGTAACAGAAATTTATTAGTTCTAATTTCCTTGCAATTTTTAAAACATTTAAAAAAATTACAGTCTTTTGAACAGAAGTTTTTAATTTGATCAGGGTTTCTATCACTTTACTGTTGAAACCGAAGAAATATTGGCTAGTTTCATTCATTCAAAAATCGATATATTGTCTAAAATATTTTGCGATAAGAAAGAATGCGTCCTTATAATAATTGATTATAAAAATATAATTTTTAGAGCTTATCATTCAGTCTAAATCTTTAAAAAAATTAAAATAAATTTACATATCATACGAATCAACCTGTATATGATACCACTTAATAATACATGTGTAAGACGTTTAAAATGAGAACATTTCTGTTCTTTTTGAGTTTACAGAAATGACATCAAGCAGATTCAAAAGTACATCCTTACATGGTGTCTCAAGGTTCGTCTCTATTATGATATTATATATTTTTTTAATTTTAATTGTCATGGACATTTCTCAAAGCCGATTAATCATCGATCGGCATGCTCTAAGTTGGACAGAAAAAAGGTTTTTTAGTTGTCAACACCAAAATTTTAAATATAAACCAAATATCTCGAATCGGTTTATGAATTATTACGCAATCTGTAGTGTTTACAGGGTCGTCTCAAAAAATCAACTATTGGGCCTTGCAGCGATAACCTTTCTGCTTTTGGTCCAATTTTCACGATCTTGAGCTCATATTCAGGCTGAAACTTCATAGATAATTTAAGACAAAAATTGGATATACAGAGTTGCACGAAAATTACTGAAATCACAATTGCTCCTGAAATTCTAGTACAGGTCAGAAAATTTTCAACTAAGTGAAGCTTATTAAGCAATAGGCTTCACTGCGAAGATTTAGCTTCAAGACGAGCATTAGATTTTACTAATCGGTTCGAAACAAAAAGTGAGATGAAAAAGTTTACTTTTTTGCGATAACTCTGTAAAGTTACGAGATGTGCGAAAAATTCAGAAACTATTTCAAGATCTGAAGCCTATCTTACTGGCTCTGGCATTGAAATTTAAAAAAAATGTCTATCGAAGAGCATGTGGAACTTTCACTACTTATGCAATATTTTATTTGCCACCCTGTATAAAGTTTATTTAATGCACTAATTTTTTCCAAAAACACGTACTATTGGGAAAGGAATTACATTAAATACCGCTTCAAAAATTACTTGAAAGTTGTCTGTGTAACGTCTATTTTGCTTTGGAGTTTAGCACAATCGCCATAAAAGGCACAGAGTTGACCGAAAAGAATAATTGTTTGTTTTTTTTGCTATTTTGGCTTATAAATAAACCAAAACTATTTTAAAATTCATTATTAATACATTTTAAGTCAACTGAGGAACTTTACTATCTAAAGTAGTTAAGTAAAGAGGGACTTATTTATTATTTGCTCTATAAAAATTTCAGCTAATATGATCAAATAATCAGTAATAACGAAAATATGGCTGGTATATAAAAAATCAGTACCATGTTATTTACTAAATTTTGCGAAAACTTAACAGTTTTTCGTAAATTTCCGTTTTTGAACTTTGATTTACATATACGTATTTGTCATTATTTGTACTATTTTGGTGAGTAACTATATGTTCTTTTAATATTTCATATCACTAAAGTAAACTTGACAGAAGCCACAATGGCTCACATAGTTTTTGGAATATCAGTCTAGATAACAAAACAGTACACACCATAACATATACATATACAAGCTCTATGTGGTTGAGGCGTATCAATGTTTTCAAAATCATTTTGTTGGGTTTTTTGCCACAAATTTTTTGTCCTAAAAAACACAATTTTCCCACGTATTTTATTACAGTTTGATAAAGAGTGCTTATTTCTCAATAAATAATGATACTCTGTCCTTTTTAAATCGCCGAAATTTTGAGGCAAAATACCCAACAAGAAGGTCTCAAAAAAACATCATTCAAAAATATGTTTCCTAAATGAAATTTTGAAATTGTATCAATGTCACTAGTACGAATGTTTGAAGGTTAGTCAATGTATGTTTTACTTTGTCTTTCAAATAAGAGAAAGCGAAATATTTTCGCGTAATTGAACCTGGATTGTATAATTCAACGAAAAATCAAAATGATACCGTAGAAACGCTTAAGTGTTCCTGGTGCTCTATTACAATTTCGCCGCAACCATTTTCAGCCTTTGGGTACAAAAGAATTTTTATAAATCGTAAGCTAATCTTGTCTCTTGTGGGACATTTAACTAACATGCATATCTAAAATAAAGCTGTAGATTAAGACAAAGTATCTTTTAATTATTGGCATATTACTAGTTAAGTCGAATATTTTTATATGTATTAGGAAAATTTAGGCACTTATTCCACATTGATATTAAACAAGGAAATTATGAATGTTTTTATTGTTATTAAGTTGGAAAGTTTTGAACTAAAACACGCTTTAGGTTCGGCTCGTTCTTCTAACACTAGAAAAAGAATTTCGGAAATAAAAAGCCGTTCTGTCCATAGTTTAAATAATGTAGTTAGCATTATTATTGTTGTTAATATACTAAAAATAATATTTTAAAATACCAATATTACGCTTATATGGCGTAAATTGTAATAGTGTATTTCGGGAAACAATTATGTACTGATAGGTATATACAAACTATCGATAAAATGTGATGGAAAATGCTTTATATCACTTGAAAGTGATTCCGGAAGTATGTTCTAACCTAGATAATTGAAAAAAGCATTTGTTTAGAAGCATTCAGCATTGAAAGTGCATGGTGTATCAAGTACAATGCATGTATCTATACCACTAAGTACAAATAGAATGCATTGTACCAATGGAAATAATATAGAGAAACGATTTTGTACTGCAGTATTATGTAGGGTGTCAGTAAACCAACGATACAGTTCACAAATATTGCATCTTTCTGTAACAATAGTTATAATTAATGTTATCCAAATGCACATATTGTTTTCAGATTTTTAGAAAATTTTAGGGATAGATTCCAAAGATTTTGCGTTTGACTGCTGATTGAAAGTATCCCCTCGTTTCGGTTGCATTAATAATAGGAGATACTTAAAATACAAAAGTCCTATTTTAATTGGCATCTCTAAAGGCTGAACAGAAAAAAATGTTTCATAAAAAATTCGAGTTTCTTGAATTTTTGAATTAGTTTTAAATACTCGGGTAGAAGCACCGTTTGAAACCACTTTTTGCCAGTTTCTAACTTGGAGAAATTGTAAAACTTTTATTTGGGAAGCTGCATCTAACACATCTAAGTCATATTAACACACTGGTGAAGTTCTTTAAAGGAATTTACCATTCGGGGGTCATACCCAACTAATGCTTACCCTCAACTCCTATTTGTCTCCCAAAAAAGGCAAACGCTAGAGAATGTAATGATCACCGTACCATCTTTTGGTGATTTTGATGTGAATTTGATGTCCCATACATTAAAAGCTGTTGTGTGTGAGTCGCAAAGTAAGTGTTCTTTGTGATCATTTAAATTAATGGAAGACCTTACTCAATTTTCTCAAACCTACAAATTAACGATGAAATTTGTATTATTTAATATAACTAAAATACCTATGGTCGATGGCCGTTTCTATAGGAAATAAAGATTATTTATATATCATATATATAAAAAAAGCCACGAAGGGATCGGTGGCTTCAAAGGCCACTTGAACACACAAGAACTTGTAAAAAAAATGGCAGTGGCCTAATGAGTACAAATTTTCACTCACGATTAGTGAACATTTATATAAACGGAGATTACAACTAACTAGATAATAGGACCTTATTTAACAGTTAGGTTTAGTTAAACTAACTCAGCTTTAATTTAAAGATAGAAAAGTGATTCCAATTGAAAAGAGAGTGATCCCGTTTGCTAAAATCGCCTATTAAAACATTTGAATTGCTAGTCCAATTCAACATTTGAATACAAAATGCTCCATCATATTTACTGGTTATCAGAATATTTCCAAAACTATATTATATAATTAATCACAGAGGCTTAAACGAACATTATCAGGTGTCCATGCCTTTAGTTAAACCCTCAAATGTTATAGGAAGTAGCTACATGATTTGTGTTTATCTTGGAAGCTGACACCCTGTTTAAAAACCACTTTAATTTATTGAAATTTAGTAACACTACTATTGTATGGTATGAATTGAATCATCTCACGT